TCTGTTTGTTTACTAAAATCGTGCGCCCATCAAACACGATTGTTAACTTTACGCGGGCTACCCGTCGGGCGGTCGGGTGAGTGCTCAATGTAAATTTTTTGAAATTTTATATAGAAAATGACATCCCATTTACTAAATAACTAAATTCACCATAAATAAATAAAATTCTAATAAGGATATAATCAATATTTAGATTGAAATTAAAAAATAAAATAAAGAAAGAAAAACAGATAGAAAGAAAAATTATTAATAAAAATGGAGAAGATACTCAACCTGCACTTGACTCCTCCAAACGACGACAATCAATTCCAGCAATTTCTTTGCTAGAATCCCTCAACTTATTCCAGCCAAAAATCCTATTGAGAATTAATTTTAGCTTTCTTCCCACCGAACCACACCAAATTGGCTATAAATGCATATAAAAATTGAAACAAATAAGAAATCGAGCCAAATTGGCTATAAATACATATAAAAACTGAAACAAATAAGAAATCTAGTTGAATCATGCATTCTGATATGGTATATGCATTTCTAGAGTCTCGTATTTCGTAATACCCGAACTCTTTCTTTTGTATCGAGGATCATTTGGTGTGAAAAACTTCCGGTTCGATTTGTTCCTAAATTGTGGTACAACTCTTTTTTTAGATTCAATTTTTCAGTTTTTTTGTTGCCGCATCGAATCGCAATATTGCTCATCTTGATTAGTGACTCATTTAATTTTTTTTTATGACAGTTAGCATAAGAATACACCACCTTTTCTCCTTTGGTCGTTTAATCATAACATTTACTTAGTTGGTAATTTAATAAATCATTTGAAAGTTTTTAACAATACAATATGTGCCTCTAACTTTCCTCGTCAGAAAGATGATGTGGCGCAGTTTTTTTTATTCTTACATGGCGTGGACAAGCCCAAATGTCAAAATCATCCCCCACGTGCCATTTCTCCTTGCAGAACCTCATCAACAGTAATAAATCTCCTCTTGTGACTGATATATAGTGAGAAATACATCTCTGTAAATTTGAGCACGATTATAACCCTAGAAAAACACGAATCAAGTTGCCAAGTATTAAAAAACCCTAGCAAAATACGAATCAAATAAAACAACAACGATAATTAGCTTTCAACAATGATGTAAACACATTCGTATGTATGTCCACATTAATCTCCATCGAGGACAGGCATGCGTCGGCTCTTCCCTTGTCGTCTTCTCTGTCCCATGGTGCTGGGATAGAGAACGGTCAGGGGCAGATCTATCAAATGGAGTGAGGTGGGGCCAAATCTTTGTAGTTATTGAAAAGGCGATAAAAAAAAATGGCACGAATAAGACAAAAAATAAAACTATATAATCAAGATAAAATCTTATACAATATCTTTAATATTTTTTTGTAAATTTCAGTTCAGTATTATATATTCATTTTGTTGACTAGAAATGTATTATTATCAAAATAAACATATTCATCTACCCAATGAATACACATTAAGTTGTATATATGTCAAGATCTCATGATTTTATCAATATTAAATTGTACTCGACATGAGAAAATATAATATTTCTCAATATGTTGGAACAAAGAATTTATTACAATTCTATTTTTTATTTAATTTCGTAATTGACATGAATTTTCATTGGCAATAATTCTCTAGCATAACAATTATTATGGTCCCATACGATGTATTGATAGATTTATACAAAGACACAACAGATAAATAAAACATTGTACTAAGAAAAATTCAGTACGAGGGAACAAGAAATAAAAACAAAAAAACTAATTAATAAACAACTTCATTTACAGGTTATTTTTTGTAAAACTACACAATTTATATTGTTTCTTTTGGGAATATATATTATAAAAGTTAAAAATCTAAATTTCCAGGTGGGGCCTAGGCCCCACCTGGAGGGGCTATAGCTCCACC